ATGACGATCCAGCCTAGGGTTAGAATTTCTAGATCCAAAATACAGTTGGGGTTGGTGCTACCTCAGAATTGATGCCAATTCACAGGGGGGCATTAATATATAAAATTGGGGTTTTTGACATTTTGAATGTTTATAGCTCTGCAGTGGAAATCAGAAATCTGCATCTGTTTGTACTTCTCTGACCTTTTTCCCTTAATCTCATCCTCTAATTGCTCCTTGTTTATGCAGTCATAAACCGACTTTACAGTAAATTACCAATTCAGGTTAATTTCTCATATCAGCTTTAATGTCCTCCCTTGCACTGTTGCATCTTATATGATTTGAATTCTTATCTCTTCAATGATGTTTGCCGGTACCATTTGTTGAATTTTATCTACTTTCCATTTCTTCCACAAGTAATAAAGATCTTCCACTACTTTCTATCATCATTCAAGCCTTATCTCAAATATATGGGGTTAGCCACATGAATCCTATTTCGAATAAGATCCTCCACTTGGTGTTCACATTTTGATTTATCCCGTCTTTTTCAAGTAGTCTCTCTCTTTTATTATGGTGTTATATATTTGCCCATATGTCCATCCAAATTTTATTTATTTTTTTCCGTCACAAATTAACCCTCCTCGCTATGCCTTGCAATGATGCAAACCATACTCCACTTAACTAGGCTAAGGGTTTTCTTTCTTGCTTTTCACTCCATAGAAAATCCCCTTTAACCTCTATCTTTTCTTTTTTCATTTTTTAATACCTCTATCCAATTCTTATAAAATGTCCTTAGGAAATTTAAATGTGTTTACAAAAATTATGGCATGAATTTAAGGGGTGCAAGCTAATCTATACTATATATAAAAGTGTGGATGCAAAGTGAAAATTTTTTTGGACTAAAATTACCCTCTATTTCTTTGTTTGAAAAAGGATATAAAAATCATTTTATTACAGCTTTAATGGCTATTAAAATACCCATATTTGTCTATTTAGTCCATCTCTAATTGTAAGGGTTGAAAATGTAACTTCAAGTATTACTTTCCACCTGATTTAATCCCCTCTCTATAAATCTTATACTTAAGGTATTAACTCCCATTTTATCTTATTAAACCCTATATTTATGTTATTTTTCGCTAATAAATTCTACTAATTAGATCTATGTTAATATTTTTAACAATATAAACACGTATATTTTAAAATTGACTAAAAAACAAAATCATTATTTATCAAAGTGGTGGTTAATTCAACCATACAAATCAAATTGATCAATCTATAAAGTCATAGTTAGGTAATAAATTTTTTAAAATAAAAATAAATATAAAAATTACAAAAAATATAGAAAAATCTAGACACATTTATGATGTTTTTGTTAATCAAATTAAAAAAAATAAGTGTAATAAACAAGAATTATTTTTATTGATACTGAAAATGAAATGAATAATTTAGAACTCACCAAAGATGAAACTATTTTACTGCTTGACAAAGACCAATAGTTCAACTTTTGGGGATAAATAATAAAAATTAATAAAAATAAAAAAATACATAAATTTTGCAAAAATACATTCAGACACATGTACAATATTATATAATTATCATATTAAACAAAAAGTAAATGTGACATATCAAAATTATTTTTATACACATACTCATTTTTTAATTTGGTCCCTATTTAATTGTGAGGTTTAAATTATAAATTGAGCCACGACTTTTTTCCTCACTCAATTCTCTCTATATAAATTATACATTTCTTTAATAAATGAATAAAAAAGATACACAAAAAATATAAAAACATTATTGTAGGCTTGTCAATGGTACTTGAAACTTCACAACTTGATCCGATTATCATATAGTCTTCTTCTTCTTCTTCTCTCTCTCTCTCTCTCTCTTTGTGTTGGATCTCAGATCTAAGTTCTCCTCTCTGCAACTTTATACTGTGAACCGTTGTCCAGGTCAAATGAATCAACGGTTCAACTACCTGGGTCAGCGGTTTTTTGACGAAGACAATGGTTTTTGACCCAGAAACAGGTTAGGGGTGAAATGGAACTGGTTGCTTGGACGATTTTTGGGCCAAACGGTCTAACCGTCCAGGTCAACGATGGTTCAAAAACATTGGTTTATGTAATCATATTTGCATTTTGCAATATGCATCCAATTTATAATAAAAAATAAAAAATATATATTTATAAAAATTTTTAGATACATCATTACTATCATTATCATCATCTAGAATTGCCACATGCGCACTTACTAGTACTTCAAAAATGCATATAACACCAAGGGGGCGTTCTTTTTTCGTATTTTGAAAGAGGGGAAAGTTGGTCAATGGGATTTTAGTTTCCATTGACTAAGAATCCAATGCTCTTTTTTCATATTTATGTGGAGACCAAGGAAAGTTCATTTTTCGGGTAAATGATACCCATCTCTTAGGAGAGTAAATAACTTTCCCACCTAGGAGCAAAGTTACCAACACTTGAATGAGACAAAAATGCCCCTTTTAATAATGGATTTTTATGGCTAAAATCGTCATTGCCTTATTTACATGACAAATAAAAGAACATGGGTAAATGCACTTGCCTGAGTAAGTATTTCCCAGGAAAAACTTACCCAAATAATTGCATTTACCTGGATAAATAACTTACCGAAAAGCGACCAGGGCCCAAATGGAATGGAAAAACAGGATTCATGTAGCTGACCCTATATAGTTGGGACAAGGGTTAGATGATGATGATCAAACCATGCCATGGTAGGTTGAGTTAAGGTCAACCCTAACCCAATTGGGTTTAGGCAAACCCAACCTAAGTTGCAGCCCCGAGGTATGATGACTAAGGGAGTGTTTGATACAGTGTTGTTACTTTACCAATGTGTTTTGGTTTGATAAATGCAAATTTGTGAGAAAGTGATTTTACCTGAAATGTTTTCAAAACATGAATTGATTAATATAAATTTCTATTTCTGTATATGTAAATGTCCAATTTGATATTTATTATACATGCATTTTTCTATTTGAAATAATATTTATATATATTGTGATTAGACCTATTCATGGGCCAGGCTCGAACTTGGTTTTTGCCAAAAGTTGAATGGGCCTAGCCTGAAGCCCGGCCTATAAACAGGTCTAGTGACAAAACATTTTTCTCATAAACATAATACAACTGTACCAAATGCCCCCCTAATTTTGTGAGAATGGCATGCAGAGCTTTATATCGTGTGCTACTAATCAATAACGAGTGAATACATTAGTGTACTTCTGGTGTATATACAACATTGGTGTATTTCCTGCACAACGATGGGAACCATAGATCCGAGTGCTCTATGTACTCCGTTTCCATCCTCCGAGTGTATTTTAAATATTCTCAACACAATCCATCTTCAGTGTTGTTGCTATTCTCCCTTGGATGATAGGAGTTCATAAATACTTGGTCCTCGTTTGATTTGCAAGAATAGGAGTTTGGAATTGGAATTGGAATGGGTTATTCCGATTTTAATTATTTAGTTGGGTGGAATCCAAATCTCATTCCTTTTTTGTTGGAATGACATTCCCCCATTTGAGGGAATGACCATTCCCTGTTATTCTTTTGGGAATGAAATCTCATTCCTGCTGACTTTAATTTCTATTACTACTCCTGTCTGAACTAAACAGATTATAGGAATAGACTATTCCAATTCCAGTCCAGTATCCTAGAGGATATCGATTCCGATTCCCATTCTGCCTACAAACCAAACGGACCCTTACATCATCATCATCAACTATTAATAGGTATTAAGAGAATACTTTCTAGAATTCTGCGATCCCTTCTTGGTGGATTCCTGGAACACACAATTGCTGACTTCTCATCAATCTTTATTTGAACCAATCCTGCTTGTGACCGTAGAGAATTCAATTCAAATGTTAGGTACCTTAGCATTTCATGGACCCCAAAAGGCATGGGGGAAGTAGATAGATGAGCAAGTGGCAAGCACTTCACAGAGAAGACCCCAAAAGCCAAAACTGAGTGTGACACTTTGATCCACAGAGTAGGACGTAGGGGATTCGGAGTCAGGACTCAGGAGTCTCCACTCTCCACCTAATTTTCCTCCGAATTGCAGGTTCCCTTCCAAGCAAATGAGGCGAACCTCCGCCCCCAACCCAAAATCCCATCAATATCATATCATCATCAGCTGAAGCTCTTCTGCGCTTGACTTTGGAGGTTGGACGATCGGACTAGTGTAGTGGTCAAGTGGGGCGGGCCGCGAGCAGCTTCGCTGGTTGTAGAATTCTTAACATCTCATGATTCTCATTGGACATTCCTGATTTCACCACCAAGCACACCACGTTTGACTCAAGGTCAAATTCTTGAATCAATCATAGCCGTGTGATTCGATCGTTTTTGGTGGGGACCACGTCACGATGAAGGTTCTTTGCTATAACTATTCATCATTGGCTGCAAATTGCAAGTGGGATAAGTTATTAGAACAGCCTACAGATTTCGCGCACAGTCACCAACAGTTTTTCTTAAAATGACTAAAAATAATCATGATCGGGCCCACCACCATTCACCAATCTATAATTATCATCAATTGTACCCGTTGATATCATTATAAGAAAATTAGAATCGTTCGATGTTGCCGAATATACCCTTTCCTTCTGAATCTAATTCAGAGTGAAAAGTTCGAGGAAGTGTACGGCTCTGTCTTTAGCAGAATGGCCCACCTGTCAGTTTTGAAATGATATTACCTCCTTATTGAACTTCGCCTTTAGATTTAGAGCGTTGACCACACATGAACTCTCTCATCTACTTAACAATAGAAGCGTTTTGACGTGTCGATTTTTTATTGGTTTCGAAATTCAGGCTGCAAAATAATTATGAATGTTTCCTATTTTTAAACCCAATAGAAGATGCACACGTAAGGAGCTTCTGTGGACAGCCTTTTGATTGGAATAATTCATTGTGGGTCCCGAGGGTTACAAAATCCAACTCTTGTCACGTGATTATGTATAAAATACGGAAAGACCCGATGCAGAATTCTGAATTCCAGCCCCCCATTATAAACAAGGGGAGGACCGGAGGAAGGTAGACAGACATTTGAAAGCTTGCTTTTATTACAGAAATTGAAAGCAAAGGACCAAGCAAGCTCTTTAGTTCTCTCTCTCTCTCTCTCTGATTTTTAGTTCGTTTTTATTTGAGAGAACAAATGGCGGAGCAGCTGACTGAAGAGCAGATCTCGGAGTTCAAGGAGGCTTTCAGCCTCTTCGACAAGGATGGCGATGGTAGGCTTTCGCTCCCTCTGTTTATTTCTTTGTTCCTGAACTTCATGGAGCTTTGGTATTTTGTTTCTCATGTTAAAACCCTAGAATTTTGGCTGAAGTAGCTTGTCAGGGTTTGGAGCTTTCAACTGTGTAGAATAGAACGAAAAGTTTTGATCGTTGGAATCATTTTCAGACACTGGTTTGGTATGGAAATGCCAGTCGATTTTATCTATACGAACCTTGATTGTGTTTCGATTTTTTTTTTTTTGTGTATATCCTTCTGCTCTCTATGCGTTTTCTTTTGAATAGATTGTTCTCATGACTTTTGAAGATCAGAGGCTGAAGATTGTTTTCGTTTTATATTCCATGTTTTTGTTACTCGCTGCTATTAAACAATTACTTGGAGAGTTAAAACCTCAATCTTTCTTTTCTGTTCTTATTTTGTTTTTCTTACTGTATTTCTTTCTCGAACTGTGATTCTTTTCTTTTTATTTTTTGGGTTTTCTAATATTGCATGAAGGATCCCATGCTCTTTTTCTTAGTTATTGGTGTTGCTTAAAGGCTCCCAATCTTTTTTTTTCCTTGTAATAAATGTTTCAAGAACATGCTGACCTTATCTGCATAAAAAATTTAAAGAAAATTCTTAAGTATTGATTGACACCTTTTGTTTTTGTCTTGTATTTTAACCTTTTCAGAAGCTATCTGCTAAGATTCTCAAATTGCATATATGGTTTGTTTGCGAGGGATCTCGTATGGATTTCTGCGGTAACTGCGGAAACGTATTTGTATACCCTAGTTTGGTTGAGCTGGAAAAACATTAATGTCATGAATGTGATGTAAAAAAACTGAAGTTATACTATGTGATTGTACAAAATTTGTTGTTTCTTGTTATCACTCACTCTCCCTGCTAAGAAAGTTCAGGTCATCAACGTAGCGTATAACTTGAATTCATCTTGAAATTGTCAAATGTGTTCTAGTGTGTTAGGTTTTGATGCTGCCTTCTGGGTGTTTAATTTTGATTCAACCTTTCCATTCAATTGCTTCAGTTAATCCAGAAAGTAGTTTTAGCATCTTAGATATCCATGTTGCCTATTCATTGACAGAGGATATTTCTAGTTTCTTTGTCTATTACTACATTTAGAGGTTCCCCTAATGACAATATCCACATGATTCTATATAAAATATAAATGTTTATAAGAAATTCAGGTGTGCAAGGCTAAGCCCAACAATAAATTGAATTCAATATGGTCAATGCCATTTGCTTCTATACTTGAGTACTTGACCATCATATGGTTTTGCATTCTCATATGCCTGATTTGCTTGACTGTGAATCGGGCTGAGAGTTTCATGCTCCACACATGTATCGGATGAGTGAATATTCTAGAGTCATGAAATGCACTTGTTGAAGATGAAATTTACAGGTTTGCCTCATGACAATATCCATGTAATTCTATGTAATAAATGTTTCTAAGAAATTCAGGCCTACAAGGCTAAGTCCAACAAGTGTGTTGAATTCCATATGCTTAATCCTATTTGCTTCTATACTTGACCATCATATGGTTTTGCATTTTTCATGTGCCTGATCTTCTTGACCATGAAACAGGATGAGATTTTCATATTTTGCATAATTGCATGTGTATTTAATCATTCGATGTTCTAGAGTCATGAAATGCACTTATTGGATATGATATCCTTGTAAATGTACAAAGAAACTGAAAATTATTATTACCTCTGCCATAAAATTCCCCTAGTTCTTAACTTCTATATTCTAATATATGCTTGATAATCTGTTTACACGTTTTTTAGACCTTATTGAGGGGGTGATGCAAGATCAAACAAGTCAAAATTGGATTTTTTTTTGGATAGTTGGGACACATTTTGGTCATTTTACATTTCAATTTTGGGGTCTGGTCTAGTATAGTGGTTTTTCTAGTCATAATTTAGTTGTGTTCAAAATTTCATAGTCATTGGTTAAGTAGTTTTAAAGTTTTTGAGTTTCTTTGAGTCAAAGTTTGATAGTGGCAACTTTGTAATTTCTGTTTCTGTTAGTTCTAGTAGGATTTGCCACTGTTACAGTATTGTTTTGAGTACCATATGTATATATGTGTGTGTGTGTGGTAAAATGACATTGGCGTAAACGCTTCTGCATAGTTATTCTTATTATGGTTAATGATTCTCATAATCCAGAGTGATTGATTCTTGGTTCCTATTTAGTGGTTTGGCTTTCCTCCCTTCTTCCTCTCAATCTTCTTTCTAATTCTGCAATCAGAGATTACCACTGTCAATAAACCTCAAATAATGTTGTTCTCATCTTTCATCTTACAAAAAATTGTCCACAAATACTAGTTTTTTGGATTTTGGTAATTTCTCTTATGAAGGGAACTTTTTATCCTTTTGTTGAAAACCTCTTATAATGGTTTAAATTGAATCACCCCATAGAATCCTTCATCTTAAACACCGCTAGAAAGATTTCATAAAAAATCCATTCCTAAACTTAAGTGTCATTTGGTAACACTGAATAGACCTTCAAACACAGGATAAATTGCTTTCTAGAGGTTTGGAGGTCATTTGGTGCTACCTCGGAAAAAATGCTTCTGAGCATTGATCTGAAACGTTCAGTGGTCTTGCTACCTCCAAGCACATTCGGAAGTAGTGAACAAAATTTCTTGGACGCGTTTATCTGTTATGGGCCCGAGCGTAGGATCTCGTTACGGGTCGGTCCACGGGGAGAACCTCTTGCTTCTCCTTGCCCCTCCCTTTGCGTGCAGACCCTATCGTGGCAACCTAAGGGGTGATTTGTCCAAGAGATCACCCTAACTCTCCTCAACTCTTCTCTTGACTGAAATTCTTGGATCCCTTTATTCAATAATAGTGGCTCCTTAAATAGGAGATTACAAGAGTCCTGCTCTTAGGGAGACTCCTTGCTGAATAGGGAGACCTCCAACTCTATCTTGATAAGATAAGACTGATAAG